CCTATAAATCATTTGCATGTGGATATTTTTCATGTCTTCAGCTCTGTATGGAAGAGTAGTAAGTCAGTCTCAGCCTGTGAAGCCCAGCTCTTTGTAGCTGACCTCAAGGTCAGCGATGACCTTGCTCATCACGTTCCTCAGGCCCTGTTGTCCAGCAGCATCGAGTCCAGCCTTCTCTGCAAAGACTTTAACGATGACCTCAGAGATCAGCTGGAAGGTGAAAAATTCATTTACTTCAGTCAAGCTCAGTTTAACAGCAAGCATGAGGTGATGGAACTACAGTAAACTTTGTCCTCTTGCACACTAAGCTCACCTTGAAGTTGTTAATGGGGATCTTGTGCTTTGTTGCATGGCTGTTGGCCAGAGGTTTGAGAATGGCAGCATGGTTGCCTTTGGCCTTCAGCAGTTCGCCCAGTTTCTTTAGCACGGTGGCTCCATGGTCAGCAACAGCAGAGCTACTGGCCAGCTCACCGTGAGGGATGCCGACAAATTTGGGGAACAGCTTCTGGGTCTCCGGGTGCTCCGTGAATAAACTGAAGAGGAAATAGAGCAGCAGGGTCATACCACACAGATCATGGTTTGCATTTTAGCCATTTAGGGTGGCAGTGTAGACGCCAAAAGTTATCCTACTTAGATTACATCACTCTTATGCACAAAATGTTTATTCCTGGCTGTGATAAGACTGGATACAAACACATGGGACCGCTTTGATAAGGCCCATCCCATCTCCTTCAGTAGAATAGCTCCTGTGCCGCCATTATGATCCTCAATATGCTCATGTTTGTGTTTGCACTGGCGGAAGTTTGGAAATTAAATTAGATCAGTTAATGGCGTTTTTCCTCTTGTCCATTAACACAAATTAGAAGGGGGGAGGAAATCTGAAGCAACTGAATATAACCGAGTCAAACATCAACCATGACCTTAAGACAAAGATTTAACATCTCCGTGTTTTAAACAGATGTAGGCATCATAAAAGTTAGTGATGTGGCAGTGGTTGCCAAGTGTGCAATTAGACAGGTGGTGGCATAAATAACACATGAATTATGTTCTTAAACTGCACTGGAGGAGATGAATTTTTCAACTCCTGGCCACAGGTCTGAGTAATGCGACCTACAAAGAGTACAATCTTATTTTTCTTTCCAGAGTCACTGACCGGTTCAAAACCAGGCTCCCATAGCCAGTGTAGTCTGCTTCCACTGGTCCCCAGTACTTCAGAACTGCGTCAAAGTCCCCCATGATCTGAGAAGATGAGGGGAGAGAGTGAAAGAAAAAGAAAAAGTTGCCTGATTATATGAAGCTTGTCAGTTACAGATGCAGTTATCCTGTACTGCACTTCTGTTTGAGTTAATGGCTGAGAACCAACAACAATATCAGTCAAGGGCAACTTGTGAAAGACGGATATATTACCTCAGATGAACTCAGGGAGTCTGACTGGCAACCTCAGTATAGCTTTAAATAGTTTATTTGAAGTGAAATCAGATTCACTTTTAGTTTTAATGCATTTGAGGTCATGAGAATGCTGCGAGATATGTAAACAGAGTGAAGTTCTTACAGATTATCCCACAGTGCACTAATCAGTCATGCATTTCCTTTGTTCTGCTTACGCTAGTTTATTAAGATAGCTTTTAATTTAGCAGTGTTGACATTTTACATTTCCCCCTTTTAACTGAAAAACTCAAACAGATTCCCAAGCATCCTGAAAGAAAAAAAGTTTAAGATTAATTTTACCCCTGAAATGTTTAACTCCCAAGTCATGATATATATTGTTTAATTAATTCTATTATTGCAGAATCCATTGCCTTACCTGCAAGCTTGTAATATATCCTGTGTAGTTACACCAAATTCCTCTTGTCCTGACTAAACCCCCCAGAGCTGACCTTTTATACTCCCTCCCTCTGTGCTGTCACCAAGTTTGTTTCCCCCCCCCCCCCTCCAGCTCTCTGTGAGGCTGCCTCTTACTGCACGTCTCCCAAATGTTCCCATTGCCTCCAACGTCTACCTGGAAACTTAATTCCAGGTGACTTAGCCACTTGGGGCATCTTTGGTGCGTTTTGTGGCCGAGCCATCAAGTAGCCCAGGTAGAGTGAGTAAAGTAGGTCATTTATTGAGGGAGAAAAAACAAAACAAATATAACTCTACATACAAAATAGGGCTCTAGTTGAGAATTTAGTTTTAGTGTTACCTTTCCAAGCTGCAAATCTAGCATCTTAAAGCAATTTTCCATTTGTGATTTTAGAGCAGCCTACTCACATTAGACAGCAGGTGAATTTCACAGCAATCCCTGCACTAAAACTTCATCCAGTACTTTCACTTATCAGTTTGTCATTAGCTACTCAAATAGTTCTGCAGTAAAACCTGCAGAGATACAGTAATTCTGCTCAACTGGAGCAATTCAAACTAATTGCATCAAAATGTCATTGATTCTAAGCTTCACAATGGATATAATGTGAAGGCAGAACACACACTATACTTCAGGATCTTTTCCTGCTTTGATCAAACTTTTCTAGATTAATTTCCTAATTTTGACTTTAGATTCAGATAGTGGGTTTCAATTGTAATAAATTTGATCAAATTCCTCCCACGAGTATTAAAATGTCAGAATTATTTCAGTCTTGATTTTCTTGAGTCTAGCCAGTGATTTTAGTTTACTAGAAATACCCTGCAGTAAAAACACAACACGCTCCTGTCAGCTTACAATAGTCTGTGCCCTTTTCTTCCATGCTACACTTAAGGACACTTCTACACGCATTACTATGATTTCTACCACCTGAGTTTCAGTGGTGGGGAGGACAGACACTTAGATTATGATTAATCTAGAAAACCCTCTAATGGGAGGAAGAAGTCTCAGAAGCCTGACAGTTTTCCCAGTACCTTGCATAATTTTATGTGCAAAAACAGCTGCGCACCATGTCATATTTTTATTGCTATTTGATTTATAATTTCACTCTTAAATAGCAACATTTCAACACAGTTAAAATCAGATTATCAGCCATGTTGGTGGAAATACAGGAATCTTTATATCCAACAGCCAAGATTAGTTGTGGTCATGACTGTATGCAAGATCTGATGCACTGTGAATGTAATCAGGGAATTAAAGAAGAAGATGCTATAAAAATCCAGATAATACCCACAACCACATGTACAAAATGTGTGATTGAAATTCCATCAGGAGAATATACGTGCAGACAGACACACTCACCAACTCAAGAATGCACACCAACCCAGGAAGTCAAGGTTATGTAAGACACCAGCAGCTTAATTGTTCAGTACAAACCTGCTGTGATGTTTTGTATAAAAATCCTTTACCATGTGTGTGTAAGATAAATTAATGTACAAACACACTCGTGACTAATTATCAGGAAAGCCCCTCTGGTGACCAATGAAACCACTTTACATTTCCATGAGATACATTTGGATTGTATAGCCGGTTTGAGTTTTGGGTCAGTTTGTGTTGGCGAATCACATTTTCTCAGTACGTTTGGTTCTGCCCGAGTCCTAATTATTCAGTTTTCAAAAGGGTACACACTGAACAATGAAACCTCTGTTTCTTTTGATTCCAGTCTCAGCCGATTTGAAATGTATCAGATTCCGTTACTGAGGACTGATTGTTTGGTATTCCCTCTAACCTGAAACCTGAGCCCCTGCGCTGCCCACATGCTTCAATTTATTACTACGCCATTGCACAGGTAGCTGCACGGCAGAATTATTCAAATGCAACCAGTAAGAAAAATGCAAAGCAAAATGTCCAGGCTAAGGCACTGCAATGATGTCGATATGCACACATCGGTAACAAAGTCATATACAACACTCCCATTATAGCGCATCTTAACTAAAGCCCTAGTCAATATTTTGACCTTTACTGCCAATAGCAGTCATTTAGTT